ACCACAGGGGTGAGTACCTCAGCGTGACCCCAGGCACTTCCTGCTCATCCTGTGGAGGGAGTGCCCTTCTGCCTCAGTCACCCCACATTCCTCAGGAGCCAGGGTGAGGCACACGAGCTTTGCCCTGGCTGCAAGGTCCGTGAAGGGCCAGAACTAGGAAGTATCCCAGGCCTGGGGACAGAACAGCAGGTCCTGCTGCACTAGGCTGGGGTTGGGATGGAGCTGGTGGATTAGCCGGAGGCTCCCCTGTGGGTGGAGACAGCTTTCTTCTCACCCGGTAAATATCCTTCATCTGACACAACCTGTACGACTAGCTGTGGCTGTTTGGCAGGGGGCTGGGAAGACGGCCTGAAACAACTAGCCAGGTGGAGGTCCTCCAGGGGAATGACAGGAACCCAGGCTCATGCTGGAGTTAGGAGGCAGAGCCAGAGCAGCTGGGCACTCCAGTGTAGCGCAGGCTAGGGCGGGCTAACCACTTCACCGAAAGGCCCCGGGCTGGGGAGAGGAACTGCGCCTGCCTGCGCCCACCTCGAAAGCTCAGGGTTAGCACTTGCAGACGTCAGCCCGGCTCTTGTGCGTCAGAAGCAATCACGTCCCAGCCTGGTGGTGTCTGCTACTCCAGCTGCTCGAGTAGATACCGCCAGACATCCCCAGTGTCTCCACCTCAGCACCTGGGCGCAGCGCTGGGCATCCCCAAGCACTGCTGACGTCAGAACCCAGCGTTGAGGCGATTCTGCCTGAAGGCTGCGGGACATCGCTAACCTGAACTGGGCTGCAGTCCAGCCCTGGCGCTCCCCTGCTGCCGTCACGCCCTTCAGCTGTCCCTGCGCTGCACCAAGGTCTGCCTGGAGGGACCTCACAGCTGACCAAGGAAGACGTTCCTGTTTTTTCCTACATTTATTTGAAAGGTGGAATTAGAGGAGAGACAGATCCGTTCACTGCTTTGCTCGCTGGATGCCTGCCATGGCCCAGGCTAGACTGACCCGAAGCCAGGTGCTTCATCTGCGTCCTCCGTGTAGAAGGCAGGGGCCCAAGCACTGGGGCCATCCCAGGGCTGACAGCAGGGAGCTGGAGAAGTGGAGCCGTGGGACTCTTTAAAGACAGATTTTGTTTTTTTTATCCACTGGTTCACCCCCACCACTTTCCCTCAACAGTCAGGGCTGGGCCGGGTGAGGCTGGGAGCCGGTGGGAAGCAGGGACTAGACTGACTGCCACCACTGCTCCTCCCAGGATGTGTATTGGGAAGGTAGAGGCAGAAGCTGGGCCAGGCACCCAGATAGGGCGTGGGGGTGTCCCAGGCAGTGCCTATTCTCTCTGCCAAACTGCCCCCTCTGAGGGAGCTCTGGATTGGAACCTGACTGGTGGGGCCCTGCACTTCATCTTGAGCCCTTGTTCTGGGCGCTTTCTCAGTGCCCACCAGGCTCTGAAAGGTTTAGTCAGCTGACTGGTCTCCAAGGCAGGCCAGAGGGGCTGTGGCCAGTGCTGGCATCTCTTATTACCTGGGTCTTGTCCCCCCCAGTCCTTCCTGTCTCATCAAGTCCTCATACTTTTTGGAACTCATACCTAGAAGTCATCATGTTCGGCCCGGCATGGTGGCCTAATGGTTAAAGTCCTTGTTTTGCACGTCAGCATCCCATATGGGCGCCTGTTCCAATTCCGGCAGCCCCACTTCCCATCCAGCTCCCTGCTTGTGGCCTGGGAAAGCAATCGAGGACGGCCCAAAGCCTTGGGACCCTGCACCCGTGTGGGAGACCTGGAGGAAATTCCTGGCTCCTGGCTTCGGATTGGCACAGCTCCAGCTGTTGTGGCTACCCGGGGAGTAAATCTGGACACAAAATCTTCCTCTCTGTCTCTCCTTGTCTCTGTAGATCTGACTTTCCAGTTAAAAATTAAAAAAAAAAAAATCATGTTAATCCTATAAGCTCCACTTTCCCAAATCTTCCTGGTCCTCCATCTTTAATAGGACCCTGGTCCAGTCTGGCCTCACTTAGACCAGCAGCTTCCTCCACCTTCTGTGTCACCAGAGGGAAGCTGCAAACCCCTGACTCACACCACCTCACCCCAGAAAATCACACCTTCACTTCCCATCGTGTGTACACAGAATTGAGATTTCCTCGATATGGTCTTAAGCCTTGTCATGTGAAAGATATCTTGAGTCTGCTGGGTCACTCCCCAAACACACAGCAGCTGGGGCTGGGGCTGGGTTGAAGCCACGAGTTAAGAGCCTCCACCTGCATGACGGGGACCTAAGGACGTGAGCCATCACCAGCTGCCTTTCAGGGTGTGCATTAGCAGGAAGCTGGATTTGAGGCGGGGAACCCAGGCTCTCCAATATGGGATGTGGGCATCCCCAGCAAGACTGCCTATGGTGCCAAGTGCCCACCTCCACCCAGTATGTGTTAGAGCTGCTTCATTTCCTCTGCCGTGGAGATGTGAGGCCACAGCAGTGACCCCCCACACCACCCCCCGACATGGGCCTTTATTAGGGACGAGACATGCAGGAGGCATTGTGCATAAATCCGTGAAATGATGCTAAGGAGGGGTTTATTGGAAGCTCCTGCTTGCCCCACCTTCCTGCCAACACCACAGTGCCCGGGATCCCATTCAGAGTGCTGCTCTTCTAATCCAGCTCCCTGCTAAGGCACCTCTGGGATACAGTGACGGTGGATCAAGTGCTTGGGTGCTTGCACCCTTATGGAGACTCACAATGGCTCCTGGCTTCGGCCTGGCCCAGCCTTTGCTGTTGCAAGCATTTGGAGAGTGGATCAGCAGCCAGAACATCCCTCACCTTTGAGCACTGATGGGAAGGGTAATGTGGACCAAAATGAAGCAGGGAGGGGTGGGGTGCAATCTGAATTATGGCCTGAGTGGGACCATGGGGACTGGGTATTTGGGCAGAGTGGCCATTCGGGGGGTCGTGGAGCACCAGCACCGTGAGCCTGGAGCTTGCTATGTCCAAAGGGACAGTGTGGAGGTCAGTGAGTGAGAAGAGTGGGGGAGCTATGAAGGAACCGAGGACCACCACAGGAGATCTGGGTCTGCCTGAACCCCCAGGACCCTAGGCTGCTCAAATGCTAGACTGCAGGCCAGCGTGGTGGCATGGTGTGTGAAGGGGCTGCCTGATGTGCAGCCGGCGTCCCATATGGGCTCCAGTTTGAGTCTCAGCTGCTTCATTTCTTTCTTTTTTTAAAGATTTACTTTTATTGCAAACTCAGTTATACAGAGAGTAGGAGAGACAGAGAGGAAGATCTTCCGACTGATGATTCACTCCCTTAGTGACCACAATGGCCAGTGCTATGCCAATCCAAAGTCAGGAGCTTCCTCTAGGTCTCCCATGCGGGTGCAGGGCCCCAAGGCTCTGGGCTGTCCTCCCAGGCCACAAGCAGGGAGCTGGATGGGAAATGGAGCAGCTGGGATACAAACTGGCACCCATATGGGATGCTGGCATGTTCAAGGTGAGGACTTTAGCTACTAGGCCACCACACTGGGCCCAAATAAAATATTTTTTTAAAAGATTGGTTTATTGGGGAGTGGAGGAGAAAAGATTTTTTGTTGGAAAGTCAGATATACAGAGGAAGAGAGACAGAGAGGAAGATCTTCCTTCTGCTGATTCACTCCCCAAAGTGGCTGCAACAGCCAGAGTTGAACTGATCTGATACCAGGAGCCAGGAGCTTCTTCTGGGTCTCCAAAGTGGGTGCAGGGTCTCAAGTCCTCGACTGCTTTCCCATGCAGGGAAACTGGATGGAAGGTGGAACCCCTGGGACATGAACTGGCGCCTATATGGGATGCTGGCACATGCAAGGCGAGAACTTTAACTGCTAGGCTACCGCACCCATAAAATAAATTTTGAAGAAAGCAAGTTGGGCTGGGCCGGGCTGGAGTGACAGTTCCATCTGGGACGGAGGGACGTGAGCCATTCCTGGCTCCCAGTGACTTCTCATGGGAAGACCTGCAAGGCCCAAGGTGGCCAGGGCAGCGTGTGTGGACCCAGCCCCCCACAATGGTGCTTAAGACATGTTTATGGGGGGTGAGTGTTTGGTATAGTGCTACAGCCCATCCCCAGTGCACGGCTCCTCTGCCTTCTGGCCCAGCTTCCTGCCCATGAGCACGCTGGAATCAGCAGGTCTCTGCAAGTCCTCGGGACCCCGTACCCATGTGGGAGACCTGGATGCAGCTCGCGGCTCCTGGCTTCCGCCTGGCCCAGCCCTGGCTGTGCGGTCACCTGGGAAAAGTAGGTGGAAAAGTGGGTGGAAGAGCCCCTCTCCTTGCCTCCTAATGAAAATGGAAATAAAGAGGGGATTTTAAAAGACAAGCCCCAAGCATCCCCTACTTCCGCAGCCAGCATCACCTTGGAGCCTACACTGGGTGTTTTATTTGTATTTCAGTTTACACTTGACTTTCCCCCATAACCCCAGAATTTTCTTTGTTTTATTATTATTATTTTGCCATTTATTTTTATTTGAAAGATATTTTTACTGAGTGAGGAAAGACAAAAAGAGAACCTTCCATCCACCGACTCACTCCCCATATGGCTGCAACAGCTGGAACTGAGCCAACCCAAAGCCAGGAGCCAGGAGCTTCTTCGGGTTTCCCACATGGGTACAGGGTCCCCAGGACTTGAGCCATCCTCTACTGCCCTCGCAGGTCACAAGCACAGAGCTGGATCCATCAGGGTTCGAACCGGTTGCTATAATGGAATGTCGGCTTTTGCAGGTAGAGGTTTAGCCTGTTAGGTCCCCGCTCCGACCCTGGAATATACATACTTTTTAGAATTCTGTTGTCTGTCTGTCCTTCCTTTCCAGCCAACGGAGAGAACCCGCGTCATGAATCATTCATTACTCTGGCCCCGCCCACGCGCGAGGACGGGCGCGTTCGCGCGGGGAGAGCGCGCGGCTCGTCCAGGAGATGCACGGGGGCGCGGGCTTGCAGGTTCTGCGCAGGCGCCAGGAGGCGCAGCGGCTCGGGAGCGCGCGCGCGGGAGGGCGGCGGCGGCGGCGCCGTGCGCAGGCGTGGCGGGCAGTGCGCAGGCGCAGGGCCGAGAGCGGGCTGAAGCTGCTGAAGCGGCGGCAGCGGCGGCTCCAGCAGAGGGGCGGGAGCTGAGGCGGGAGCGGACGGGCTGGTGGGCGAGCAAGAGGCCGGCGGAATGGTGGACTACCACGCGGCGAACCAGTCGTACCAGTACGGCCCCAGCAGCGCGGGCAATGGCGCTGGCGGCGGGGGTAGCATGGGCGACTACATGGCCCAGGAGGACGACTGGGACCGGGACCTGCTGTTGGACCCGGCCTGGGAGAAGCAGCAGCGCAAGGTGCGCGGCCCGCGGGCCGGACGGGCTGGAGGGGGCTCTCCCGAGGGCGCCGGGAAGGATGGTGGAGACCCCGAAGGGGAAAGGAGCGCGTGCGATGGGGAATTGGCGGTGGTGCTGGGGTGTGGGGGTGAGTCCTGAGACGGAATTGGCGGGCCCGGGATGGGGGAGGGAGCCCTGGGAAGGGAACGGCAGAGCTTGCGGAAGGAATTGGAAGCTGAAAGCCAGGATTGTGCGAGTCAAAAGAAAGGGATCGGGAAGGCTGGGGCCGGGTGCTGCGGGGAAGGCTGAAATGCAATTAAGGGCTGAGGCCGGGGTTGCAGGGTCAGAGGACGCCTGGGGAGTGCCGAGCGGGTTGTCCAGGGAGGGCATTCGTGGGCCACGATGGAATTGGGGGCCTGGGGGGTTACAGCATGGAGGTGTTTATTTGCAGTGCAGAAAGGCCCGGAGGAAGGTGTGCAGTCTGGGGAGGGTGAGGATGGAGTCGGGGTGCCAAGGGAGGGATTGTGGGTTCTGGGGAGGGGTGGGGGGCCGGGGAGGCTGGTAGCAGGAAAGGACTGAGATGTGTGAGGACAGGGGGTTCAGGGCGTGGGTTAGGGTGCTCTGGGAGGCTGTGGCACGGTTAGGAGCAGGAGAGCGCCAGGTGTGACCGGGGTGGGAGTTAGGCACCTGTGATTGGAAGGAGGTGAGATGAATTTGTGAAAGGTAATTTTGGGCAGAGAGGAGGAAGAGGAATTGGCAAGGGCTGGAGAAGCCCACGGAAGGTGGGGGGGTTCGGAGGCTATTGGGGAGCATATAGAAGGGGAGTTTTGGAAGGAGCAGTGGGAGGTTAGGGGAGCCCAGGGCTGTGTAGCCTGGCAAAGGTGACGGAGCTGGAATGGCTGCTGCCTGGGGCGGGAGAAGGGTAGCTTAGGAGGGGCCCCAGAAAAAGGGTGAGCGGATGGCGGAAGGGATTTGGGAAGGGGCATGAAGGGTGTCTGTGTTCCTGTGGCCCTTGGGATGTTGGGAGCACCTGAGGGGGACCCCAGAGTGGAGGGGAGATCAGAAGTAGAGTGGGAGGCCTAGGGGAGGTGCCGGGGGGATGTGTTTAGGAAGGGAGGCTCTGCGGGGCCGGCGAGGGCGAGGCGGAAGGTGCAGGCAGTTAGCATTTTGGAGCGCTGGACTTTCTCCCCAGGTCTGTTACTGACCAACCCTGTGGCCTTGGCCCAGACCCTTTGCACATACAAGGGGTTGGGCTGTGGAGAGCAGCCCCAAGGACTTGGGAGAGGGAGTCTGACGAGGCTTTTCGGGGCAGACTGGGTGAGGGGCTGGCGCCGTCCGAGTGGGGCTTGACTCGGTGCTGCCCACGGGCAGCCCTGTGTTCAGCCGAGCAGCTGTTCCAGGCAGCCGGGAGGTGGGGCCTGGCTTAACCTTGGGGGGAATGAGCAGCTGCAGTTTCCTCCTAGGTTGCCACTGGGGTGGCAGCGGCTTGGTTGGGGAGGGGTCCCGGGGCTGGGCTACCTGACAATAGTTGGTTTTTTAGGGGGTCCTGGGGAGGTCCCGACTGGAGCTCCACAGGAATTTACTGCCTGAGGCCGTGCCAGGTTGGAAAAGGTTGGGGTTGCCAGGAGACTTTGGAGGGTTGGGAGGGGGAGTGGAGCTTGGTCTGTGATGATGGCTGCAGTGCTGGGGCAGGGACCCCCTCCTGCCAGCCGATGATGAAGCGGGGAATCTCCTTGCCCTTCCTGTCCTCGGCCCCTCCCCAAGTGACTCCTGCTAGCTCATTTCCACTCCCTTCTGGCCGTTGGGTGTGGACCATTTTGCAGTTATAGTCTCCTTTGCCTGTAGGGCAAGGCTGGGGCACCACCATTCAGGGCCTGGGTGGAACCGGGACTCACAGGAACCTTGCGTGTGTCATGTTCCCAGCTGCCAGCGCCTCCCCTTAGGGCAGGGTGGGTGAGGTGGAGGGCAAGGGCAGCCCACAGGGTCCCACCTCCCACTTTTCAGCAGGTACCAGCCTCTCAAACGCCCAGCTTTCTACCTGCTCCTACAAATATTTACACTTGGCTGTGTTTGGGGAAACCAATGACTTCACCTCTGCGCCCTTTTCTGTCAGGGGAGGGATGGAAAGGAATACAGGAGTGTGTTCTCACCAGACACACACACACACACACACACAACACAGCCTGGGCTCTTTCCCTGGAGCAGTGGTTCCTTTAGTGACAGGTTGTGTCCCCCTATCCCCCAGGCCAGCCCGTGGCACAGGGCTAGTGCCCAGTACATCTGCGAGCGTCTCCTGAATGGCTGTAGGTGCTGAAGGTGGCCTCCAGTGCCCCTGGGAGCAAAGCCAGGGTTGGACCTGCCCGGCTGGGGCATGTGTATGTGTCCCACTTTGACCTGGAAGCCCTTTGCTCTGATGCTTGGGGACCCCCTGTGACCCAGGCATTATTGAATAACTAGTTTATGTAACAGATTTGTTTTCTATGGGAAACCTTGAAGTGTGCTCTGGGGGGGTGGCCCAGGACCAGGCTGCTGTTGGAGTGAATTCTGGAGCCATCCTAACTCTAGGCTGCAGTCCCCTCATTGCCAGTGTCTGAAGGGGCCCCAGGTGGCCCTGCCACTGCCTGCCTCTCCCAGAGTTTGCAGAGAGAGAGGACACACTTGTTAAGCCCGCGTGTTTGCTGGGCCTCTGGTTCAGACTACGACCTTTGGTTCAGGGTGTATAGGTTGTGAGTTAAATATTTAAAAGTTCTGATGGTGCTGTGGTGTTTTTTTTTTTTTAAAGGCTAATGCTGGAGGCCCCCAAAGTAGCCATCTGTTATTTTCTGCCATTACTCTTAATTGCTTGCCCCTTAGGATCTGGCTAGACTAACAGATCTTTAGCAGTTTTCAAAATTGAAGAATGTACTTCCCCCCACCCCCAAACAAACAACAAAAAAAGCAAAATATAAAGGTAACCAAACCGAACTGTCACCCAGAAATAAGCCTGTGGCTCTCTGAGGGGGCAGGTAGACTGGGGGTAAAGGGGTAGGGAAGCCTGCTGGTGTGCTTGGCGGATAACTGGGTGGTGCCAGCAAGTGGCGCCGTCCCCTCTGCCTAATCTTGGGCGGGCTAGGGTGTGGGCCTAGGGTTTGCCCTCTGCCTTTGGAAACCAGGGCTGCCTGGTTCCGGCCCACACAGAGGAGGCTGCTTTGACAGCGAGAGCTGACTCACCCTCCTGTTGGAGCTAGAGGCGCCCATTTAACGGCAGCCTGTGGCTTGGCCTTAAGTGAGTTTGGAGAAAGTGTTGCAGGAAAACAAGCCAGGAAGCGAGGGCTGTGTCTAATCCCCAGGTGCTGTTACAGTCTGAAGAAGTGTGGGAGGGAAGCTGGTTCAGGTGTGGCCTGGTCCTCTCAGGTGTCCCCTCTACAGATGGCCAGGGAGCAAGGGCAGGGGCTTGATTGGGGCTAGATTGGGGCCAGTGGGCGAGGGGTGGGGGTCCGGCAGGCACACCTGGCCCCATAGCCTCCAAGTGCGTGGTGTGTGTTACCCAGAAGCAGGAAGGATGGAGCCAGATGTGAATTGATTTGGGAAGGAAGGCCCAAAGATGGTTGAGATGGATGCTTAAGGCTTCCGCTCAGCGGAGTCACAGTATGCTGGGAATAGAACAAGCCTCTGATTGGGTCCTAGGGTTCCTTTGCTGTTGCCGTGACTTTTCTGTCAGGGAGAAATAATTAGGGAGTAGCTGTTGGCTGCAGTAGCACTTGGCCATTGAGGAGTTGGGAACAGCTGACATTCCCGTTTATCGCCTCTTGGGCGTCGAGCCTGGCCCTCAGCATTAGCCTTCATTCCTTCACTCACAGGTGGCCGCATAGGTCACGCTCGGATCGTTTCCCTTGGCCCTTCCGCTGCTGCCTTTATTTTTACGTTTAGTTTACAGAAAAACAAAAACAAAACCCCTGCTCATGTTACTGGCAGTTTTTTCCTTTCCTTTCCTTCTTTTCATGGAAATAAGAGGCAGGAGATAGCAAGTTGGTAACTCAATGTGGTAACTGAGGTGGACGGAAGTGTCTACTTGAGCCAGATACAAACACCGTCATCTGTTGGGAGTTTGAAAGAAGCCTTTATGCCTTGGGTGGGTCGGGCGCTCCAGATTCTGTCTCCTCTTGCATGGCTGGAAGCTTTGAAACATCAAAGGAGGGTTACAAGGAAGCCGAGTTTTATAGTGTTGGCAGTGTCGGCGCCAGAATTTGTTATAAAGAATCTGAAAGTAGCACAAGTATCACTTTTCTTCAAGAAGTTTTGTAAGTTACACTGTAGCAGCTATCCCAGACATCCAGGATGTAATGGTTCAATGAGGCAAAGGGAAAGGGAACCATTCTAAATTCTAGGGCTGTTAAAAGTGGAATCTTACTGTTGGGGGTGGTGCTAACTTGCTGGGAACCTCCCTGGGGTTCCAAGGCTCCTTGAGACACACGTGTCTTGCTGGTGTGCCTTTTTTTGGGCTCTGTCCTTTCACGTCTCCATTCTCTCCATCCCCTCCTAAAGAAGAGGCATCCCCTTGGAATATGCAGGTGAAGTCCTCACTGGGTGACTCGGAGAGTCCGGTGGCCGTTCTCTGAGATGTGACTTACTGGAGTGTTCTCTGAAAGCCGGTGGACTAGATTTGCTTGGCTTTTGCCGTTTGCCACCTGTTGCTGTGCTGGCTTCCGCCTCCCCCCGCCCCACCCCAAGAGCAAAGACTTAGGATTTCCTAGGCAGAGCAGGCTCCTTGCACTTGTCTCTGATTATTCCACACTCACCTCACTTTTCTACCCTTAACACCTTTCTTAAGTCAGTTTACATTTTTGTTTTCGAAGGGAAATGGATAGGACTATGGTGAATGGTAAATCCAGCGTCTCTGGCCATAAATGGAAGAAAACCAGCAAAGTAAACGCACTGGAGACAAAATGGTGGAGCTGGGATCTGGCAGGGTTCTGTGGGCCTGAGGCCCGCCCCTCCTGTGACTGACAGGTGTAGGTGAGGCTCTGAAGACCTCGCCAAGA